TGTAAATGATTTTTTGTAAATGTTCTATTATTATTTCTGGAAAGAACACGACCTCATCTATGGATTTTCAAAATTTCAGATTTTTGTGCATGTTCGTCCGAGCACAGAAAATCGCCGAAGTTGCCTCTTGCAAAACGCCTATTTCGTTGTGCCTGACCTCCCTGTTTTGAGAAGACGGGGCTCAATGCTTGGGCCAGAGGGCCCTTTTGCAGTTCACATGCCTTCACTTCTTTTTGGGGTCCGCTTCTACCCGGGGACCGGTCCAATGCCCCCCACTTCTTTTTGGGGTCCACTTCCACCCGAGGACTGGTCCTTCCTTTTTCCAAAAGTCCCGGTTCTACCAGAGCTAGCTGTAGGTAGTCCGCAGCCCCCCAATTTTTTTGCCCCCTAAGAACCCACTTTGCATCCTGGTCGCCTGCCGCCAAAAATGCGACACCTTGACACAGACGCGGAAGCCCACTATACCGCAGCCTGAGGGCTGCAAATTTTGCAAAATCGGCGAGTAGTGGAGCCAGGCCCAGATATTGGGCCTCGCCCCATTGTCTACCGCGTGGGCGCGGGGAACGCAGCCCCATTGTCTATCGCGTGGGAGCAATGAAACTAAGTATATACGCGTGTGCGCGCGCGCGTGCGAGAGAGAGAGAGAGAGAGAGAGAGAGAGAGAGAGAGAGAGAGAGAGAGAGAGAGATTCCTAGGCTACCAGAATGGCCCGGGGTCACTTGCTGGGCCGGGCAAAACCAAAATTAAAAAATAAAATAAAAAATATATATATTTTATTTTATTTTGTATTTTAAATTTGGTAAAGAATTTCGATGTGACCCTGAGGCAAAAGTTGTTCAATTTATTTTTCTGCATAACATAGTTTGTTTTCAGATTTTTTGGAGGTTTTTTTTTTTTTTTTTGTTGGGACCTTCTCTGGTCTTTGCACGGGCTGGCCACCGGGGACCCGGGCGGCCCGGCTGGTTAGGTGACTGTGGAGGAGAGGAGAAGAGGAGAAGAGGAGAAGGAATAACGGTTAAGGAAGAGAGAGAAGGGTAGCGAAGCCATTTTACTTAGCAACAACGAAAATGAGCTTCACGGAACCTATTCGTCAAGACTGCACACACAGAGAGAGAGAGAGAGAGAGAGAGAGAGAGAGAGAGAGAGAGAGGAACATGAGGTCGATGCCTTGGCAGTCGACTGACATTGCCAACCGCTCGATGGCGTTGATAGGAGGACACTGTGTGAGGCAGCGATGGAGGGGGATCAAGGGATTTCGTGGGACTGCGGCTAGTCGGACTGCGAGGCTTCTGAAGCTTCGCCATATCTGCCCGCTTCTTGGCTCTTCCCTCCCTAGGGGGGTTGATTGCCCCCCCTTTGGCTTGGTATCTCTCGTTTCAGCCATTAGCCCCGTCTTCTTCCACTTTGTGCCTTTCCCGTCTACTTTCGTTGGGCTAGGTCGGGATAACACTCCTGCTTCTCCTCCTCCTCCTACTACTACTACTACTTGCCGAGCTCTCACATTTACAAGCGTAGATGGCGGGAACACTCCCAGTGGTATCCGTCCTACTGATCGTGTTTCATCTCCCGCCAACCGTGGTACAACCTCAACAGGGGACAACAAACCGTCCCCTCCTCCTCCTCCTCCTCCTCCTCCTCCTCCTCCTGCTGCTGCTCTGGTCCTAAACGGCACCCCGCCAAAATCCGAGAATCCTCCCGCGTAGGATGGGCCTCCACCTCCCTCCCCACTCGCTCTCCCGCCAGATTTGAAGTAGTTCCCCGCCCTCATGGTTACTCCAGTCGCCAATTTCATGGAGGCTAGGAGGGCCTCTACTGACATGGCAACCCCTGTCCCCCCTCCCCCTCCCTTTTCCTCCTCGACTTGACTCCCCTCTCTCTCCCTCTGCGGAAGCCCTGATTCCTTCCGACCCCTTGCGGTCATCGCCGCAGGCTTCTCGACTGCACTCGCCGCATCCCCTGTTCGGCGTTTCGTGATCGCTTCCCCTCCCCCCTCTCCTCCTCCTCCTCCTCTTCCTCCTCCTCCTCCTCCTCCTCCTGCTGCTGCTGTTGTTGTCGTCTCTGCGGCCAACCTTCCTCCTCCTCCTCCTCCTCCTGCTGCTCCTTTATTGCCACTACCCGCCCCCACTGCAGGTTCTGCGTCCTTCAGTCTGATATTCAGATCTACAGCGTAGGGAGGTAGCTTCTCCGGCTGCCATTTGCTCATCAACACCACCTCTCCTTTGTATCCATAGCTATAGTCTTGGCCTCTGAGAACACGATGCAGGTTGGCCAACCGCTTCGCCTCRTCCTCGTCCAACTCTCCTTTGAGGTTCTTGATGCCTTCCTTTGCTCTCCTTGCCTTGACTTCTTCTCTCAGCTTTTCCTCCTCTGATCTCTCCTCATCGCTGAGAGGAGATTTAGGAGATAGCCTCGGGGGAGAGACAGACTCCTCGCTAAGACTCTTTACTTGTTCCGGTGGCAGGCTCTCGATGCTCACCCTTCCCCCTGAAATAGACCCTCTCCTCCGTCGCATTCCACCAGCTGCTGGCTGCTGCTGTGTCGTCGTCAATGGCCCTTCTGTCTCTTCGCCCGTCTTTCTTCGTCGTTTCTTCACCGGAATCACCTCCGTCGCCCACGTGTCGATCGCACACGTGGGCGGCTCCTCTATCCCCCAATTGTCCAGCACTGTCTTCTCTTCCATCCAATCAGGTGTTCGCGGCACGAAACAGATCCTCATCACTGTCATCACCTCCTTCCAGGCCCTTTGCACTGCAAAAGGGATGATCTTGGGCTGGATGGATTTCCAATCGACTTCCCGCTCGGCGCGCTCAATAACCAACTGCAGAATCCCTCGTATGCACTCGTCTCTCTCTTCYCTCTCTTGATTAAGCCGCTCTTCTTCCARCGCTGCCTGYTTACGRCCTGCCTGGCCTTTCTTAGATGGTGTGGAACCTTGAGCAGGCCTCAAATTACTCGAAGGGATTGGAGAACCCCTACTTGGGTCCACAGATGATTTCACTGGGGTAGCCGCTCTCTTTCGCGGGCTGCTGCTGCTCTTTTTCGTCGACATCTTCTTCGTTCCCCTTCCGCCCCCTCTTCCCCCCCCCCCAACTTTGGACCCCCTCCTCCGTCGCTCCGTTTTCTTTACGAGCGTTACGCGGGGAATATGTATGTAATATGTGAATGTGAAGGCGTGTGGATTCGAACCCGGGTGCGCGTTTCAAACAGTAGGAGTGATGCGTTGGGAGGTGATTGAGGAGATAGGAGAATGGATGAGGGACAGTAGAGTGCGACCAGCTTTCGATCCACCGTTGATTGCTAATCGCCATCAGCCGTCGATCTAGATACCTGCTCATCAAAAAGAGAGAGAGAGAGAGAGAGAGAGAGAGAGAGAGAGAGAGAGAGAGTTTTGTTCCATTTATTGTTATGAGTGTGAGAGAGAGAAAGAAATAGAGAGAGAGAGAGAGAGAGAGAGAGAGAGAGAGAGAGAGAGAGAGAGAGAGAGAGAATTCAGTGAAACGGTAAAACGAAAAAGAAAATTGAGTCTGGGTAATCCATTAACTTACCCGTGAATTATGACTTTTTCTTTGTTTGTGAAGTAGATCACCAGCACACAAAACTGAGAAGAGAAGGAGATGCCGTCGGAGAAAGCGTACTATGAGGCATGACCGCGGACTGCGGTCGCGACCGCGGGCCCGCGGTCCGCGGTCATGAAAAAAAAAAAAAAAAAAAAAGAATTCAGAAAAATCTGAAAAAAATATATGTTATGCCAAAAAMTAAACTGAACAACTTTTGCCTTGGGGTCATATCCAAATTCTTTACCAAATTTGAGATAAAAAATAAACAAAATCCTTTATTTTTCTTACTAAAAGAATAAAGTGAAGAACTTTTGCCTGAGGGATTTCTGTTTTTCATTTTTAACAAATCCGAAACGAAGTCAAAAAATAAAACTAAAAATATGAGGTTGTAGAGAGCAAAAAAACCTACAACCCCATATTTTTAGTTTTTTTTTTTGGCCCATTACCCTACGAATTAAAAATGTTGGGGTTTTCCTACCGCACTCGGCCGCGGGCGGTCGGCCCCTGCGGTCGAGGTCATGACCGCATGCGGTAAAAGACCCGCGGTTATGACCGCGGGTGATACATAGAAAGCGTACACAATGGAGGTGAAGGAGATGCCATCGGAGAAGGCGGCAGCGAAGAAGCTGACAGCGCACAAGACACAGGAGGCCAAAAAGAGCACCGTGGAGAAGACGGAGGCATCGTTGTATGTATGCTACAGTCTTTTCCCGCATACATACACACAGTCTTTTCCCGCATACATACAATGCCCTGTGTCGTTTCCTGCATCTGCCGGCCGTTGACCATCTGCCTCCGACTAAGCCTCCGACTTCGCGTGGGTCTCGTATCCGCCACACCCATGCCTACCCTTTTAGATTTTAGATTCGGCTTGCTGCGCCTCTGACTTCGCGTGGGACTGGGCCTCCGACTTCACTAGCCGCCAGACCGACGCCTCCCCTTCTTTTTCCTTTTCAGGGTCGGCATCCACAGCCAGTCCTTCCTTTTTTCAAAAGTCCCGGTTCTACCACAGCTAGTTGTAGATAGTCCGCAATTTTGCCAAGGACGGTCCCCCAAATTGTTTTGCCCCCTAAAAACCCACTTGCATCCTGGTAGCCCGCCGGCAGCCTTAGGGCTGCGAACTACTCTCGAAATGTGCAAAACGAGAGTGAATCTTCCAGTAGAATATGCAATATACACCGAGTGGCCTAGCTCAGTTGGTAAGGCATGCAAGTGGCATTCAGGAGGTCTTGGGTTCAATCCCCATTGGCCTCATGTACCATCCTGGGCAAGCTTGGCGCCCGCCACCTAGAGATATGCCGTTGGTCCCCCCGAGTGGCATTGAGCAGAGACTGCTGATGTTCATAGGGGGAGGGGACCGGAGGGGAGTCACAGTGACTGGCCCATCGAAGAAGCTCGGTCCTGATGTTACAGGCTGACCCCTGGCCGGCATCGCTCGCACCTGCTGGTGGGTGCAGCTCCCGCATGTTCCCTCATTGGAGGCTTGAGCACGGATGTGGCTGCTATCCCCGTAATACTATAATGACAATAAAAAAACGGCCTGAAAGGCCGTCCTGTCCAGATTTGACAGGTAATTGAATTGGTTGGGCTTAAAGAATTAGCCTTTAAATATATATATATACACCGCCATGATTTTTGTCTTTTGTGCATGTCGAGAGTACTGCAGCGAGGCCCAATGTGCTACAAACTCTCTCCTCTGGACACATGTAGCCAAACCGCCAACGCACCTCTGGACGCATGTAGCCAACCCACCAACGCACGGATGAACGGCTGAGAGAGCGCTCGCACTGGCACTTCCCTGGATGCATCTGAACGGAGTTACGACCCGGACTAACGTATCTGACGGTAATTACGGCCAAGGCTGAGTAGAAAACTCCCTTGTGTGAGTATCCCCTGAATGAAAGGAGGGGAAAGGAAAGCGAGCGAGAGGAGGTAGGCAAGTAGTATTCGGAATCGTCAAACCCATGGCTACGCATCGCACCATGGACACGCTGCATATCTGATCCCAATCAGCGACGGAGGACGAAAGGGGGAGGGAGGGAGGGAGGGAGGGAGGGAGGAAATGAGGTGGGTGTGAGGGGCTCCTAACTGTTCTTGTTCTTCCTCTCAAATAGCATGTGATCGCACGTAATCTCGACCATGAAGAGTCAAGGAAAGTTCCTATCTCTTCGTCGTGGTCCACCAGTCCATCCATATTCATCGATCCATGAGTTTATCATCCTTGAGCTGATCTGTCTTATCCCTCCCTCTCTCCCTCCCTCTCTCCCTCCCGTCCTCCAACCACCTGTCCATCCATGCATGGGGGGGCGGGCTCGGCTAGTAAGGTAATCCCCCGGCTCAGCTATCTGATCATCACATGTTTATTTTTATATCATATTATCGAACGATTAATTAAATTAGTGCAACAATAAAAAGGCCAGGTCGTGTGCGGCCGCTGACGGACGGGCAGCCATTGTCGAATGGGCATCGGTAGAGGACGCGGCTACTTCGACACGAAGAGGAAGACAAGGGAAGGGAGGAAGAGAAGTAGAACGGTTAGCGCTGCTGCTTCACACACGTCGCCGTTCGTGAAATCGAAAGCGAGGACGTGGAAAAGGAAGAGGAGGAAAGAGAACTGGCAGAGGACAAACGTAGTAGGAGCACTAAAAGGAGGAGGAGGAGGTGGTTTGAGTGATTGCTGGCCGAGGATTGAATGGGTTAAGGGGAGCATTGGGACTTGGAACTACCCACAGGGGAGGGGAAGGTGGGGTGGGAGAGCAGAAGCAGAGCGAGGACCCCAGAGCCGTGGGCAGTGGGTGTATTACTTTATTTCAACGTAAAAGGACGTCTTAGACTTGACAGCGTCGCGAATGAGCGGACCGTCAACGACGTGGCTTGATGAGCTTGCAGTCGGTGAGAGATCTTGAGGATGGTATGCTGCGGCAAGAAGTGTATGAATCATGACCGCAGAGCCGTGGGCAGTTGGTGTATTATTTTATTTTAACGTAGAAGGACATCTCGACAGCGGCGCGAATGCGAACGAGGGGACCGTCAACGTCAACGACGTGGCTTGATGAGCTTGCAGTCGGTGAGAGATCTTGAGGATGGTACGCTGCGGCAAGAAGTGTATGAACGAACAGGAGACGGTGCTACAGTATAACGACTACCGGCTTCCCCAGAACATAACGCACCCTTATCACGACAATATCGGCACTGGAAAGATACCTTGTATACGTTCAAAATCAGGGTGCCTTGTTTTGGGGGGAAGGCGGTAGTTGGGGGCCATGATAGCAGTCGTAGGTCGTTGGTGGATTGACAATAAGGGAGCGTTGTGTTCGGGGAAGTCGGCAGTTGAAGACCATGATAGCACTTGCAGGTCGTTGGTGGATTGCTAACAAAGGCGCGGATGCGGGCGTTAGTGTGCCTCGCTTTCTCTCTCGCCTGGTGCTGCGTCCTGCTGATGGTATGGGACTATATCAACACCGTCGACCGGGCTAGAGAGTTGGGAACTACCGTTGACCAGTTGAAGATCATAGGGAGCGGGCCTGTGCCGGCAGACGGCGCGACCGCCATCGTGAGCGGAAGCCCGCCATCAGGCGGTTCCCCGACCTTGGGTAAGACAACCCAGCATCCCCTCCTCCCTCTTCACCCTTCTCCTGATCTTCTCTCTATGTTTATTTTTTTTTCTTCTCATCCTCTTGTACTTTCTTCGTCCCCCACTTCCTCCTCTTGATTTACCACCTCTTCTTCTTCTTCTTCTTCTTCTTCTTCTTCTTCCTCCTCCTCCTCCTCCTCTTCATCATCGTCGTCTTCTTCGTCTTGGGACAAGCGGTGCAGCTCGCATAAGCACGTTCTCTTGCTTCGTGGCTGCCAATCCCTTCTTCTTCTTCTCCTTCTTCTTCTTCTTCTTCTTCTTCCCCCCCCTCCTCTTCATCATCGTCGTCTTCTTCTTCTTGGGACACCTCTTCTTCTTCTTCTTCTTCTTCTTCTTCTTCTTCTTCCTCTTCTTCATCATCGTCGTCTTCTTCTTCTTGGGACAAGCGGTGCAGCTCGCCTAAGCACGTTCTCTTGCTTCGTGGCTGCCATGCTCTTCTTCTTCTTCTTCTTCTTCTTCTTCTTCTTCTTCTTCTCCCCCCTCCCCCCTCCTCCTCCTCCTCCTCCTCTTCTTCTTCTTCTTCTTCTTCTTCTTTTTCTTCTTCTTCTTGGGACAAGTGGCCCAGCTCGCAGAAGCACGTCCTATTTGCTCCCTGGCTGCCATACTCGTGTTCTTCCGGCGCGTATGGCGGCTTATCTACTTCGGTGGCCCCGATCTGACTCCTGGCTCGTGGGTAAATTCCTGATACCTTCTCCTGTGTTCATCTTGTCTCTCCTCCCTCTCTCCTGAGGACGGGGGGGGGGGGGGGCAGTCGTGGCATGGGTCTCCTCTTCTTCTTTTCTTAAGGCTAATTGTTGCCCAACCAATTCAATTACCTGTCGAATCTGGACAGGACGGCCTTTCATGCCTTTTTTATTGTCATTATATTACGGGGAACCCCTTTCCTCCTGTTTCGCTCCTTCTGCCCCCCCTTCCCCGCACCAAAAAAGAGAAAAAGACTTGCACTAGTTCTTCATCCGTCGCTCTCCTAGCCAAACTTTTGTGCGTGTTGGAATTCCTTTTTTTTTTTTTTTTTTTTTTTTTTTTGCAAGAAACAGCCCGAGCGACTGCTAGGGCGTGTTGGAATTCCTAAAAGGTCTTGAAAAGACTCTCGGGCGTGTTGGAATTCCTAAAAGGTCTTGAAAAGACTCTGGAAGAGGCACACGGAGGGCCTCGCTCCACTAACTACGCAAAGGAGTCAACATTCTACGCGTATGCTGGTCCGAATGCATCTGGTCCATTTTGCATTCCATATACCTGTCCAAGGTTGACTAGTGGAGCGTGGCCCATACACCGACGTTCTTCAGGCCCTGGCGAATGCCGCACGGGGGGGGTGAAAAAGCCCCCCTTTGAACGCACACATGTGCTCCCACTTGCGCATATCAGCACCAGGCTGCACAGAAATAGCGCCAGTCGAGGCTGCACATCAAGCACTCAGACCCGCTATATGACTTTGCCAGCCCCTGCCCCGTTCTTCCCTTCCCCCCCGTCTCACCTGTGCCAGGCAATGTTCCGTTTGGCCCTTCCGGGGGTGAGGTCCCACTACATTCTTAGCCCCAAAAGAACAAGTACAACGCACGTACGTTGTGCAACAATTTTGAGGGACTTTTTTTTTTTTGGGGGGGGGGGGGGGGGGRGGGGATAATTTGCAAAATACCCCCATAAGCTGAGATATATGCCGAAATGCCTCTTAAAGATGTGGGTAGAACGAAATACCCCTCTGACAAAAAAAATAAAATGCCCCTAGCATTGGTTGGACCCCCATCTTTGCAATATACCCCTACCAGGTACCGTCCAACTTTGCAAAATCCCCCAGTATTTGCCAACTTTTCCCAGGCCGTATCGCAAAAGGCCAAGGCCCAAACGGAGCGGTCCAGATAGCAAAGTTGGACACCTTCCTGACAGGGGCACAACACAAAGATTTCGGCCCAAAAGGGCATGCCGCTCTACCCACATCTTTCAGGGGCATTTGGGCATATATCTCAACTTATGGGGGTATTTTGCAAAATCTCTCTTTTTTTTTCTCAACGCTACCCAACCAATTTATTTACCTGCCGAATCTGGACAGGACGGCCTTTCAGGCCTTTTTACTGTCATTATATATTGTCATTATAGTATTATGGGGAACCCCGTAGCAGCCACATCCAGGAGGTCTTGGGTTCAATGTTGCTGTGTATCAACAACAGCCCCCCCCCCCCTGTTCGTCCCTCTCCTCTGCCGCAGCGTGGCTGTGGCGGGTCCACTTGTTAAGATAATGAGCATTGTATTTCAAAACTTGGGCGCAGGCATAACTAACTTGGGCCTGGTTATTTTCGTGGTTATAATAAACTTGGGCATAGGCATAGGCATAGGCATAGGCATGACTAACTGGGCCCTGGATTTCTTAGCACGATCAGAGCACGAAAATGGGCTCTGGTCTGTATATACGCAACCTGTCAGTGTGACTGCGTAATAACTTATAAGTTACTAATAACACTTTCTCCTTTCAACCCCTTCTGTCATACCCTGCAAATCAGAGAGGAAAGAGGGTGTAGTGTGAGTATGCCCGTTAGTCATGGATCCTTCAGGCGAGGTGTTGAATTTTCTGGGCCTGGGGCCTGGGCTGTCTATGCACAAAAAGGTCAGGGTGAGTGTGTGATGCCACTTCAACTTTTTTCCGTCTTCCATCAAGCCCTGCAAATTAGAGAGGAAAAAGGATGTGGTGTGAGCAATACACTCAGGGTGTACTCACACTAGCACTTTTCAAAATGCATCTGGCTGTAATTATGGCCGGACCTGGATGCATTTAACTCCAATCGCGTCCAGAGCTTGGGAGAAAAAGTGCCATTGTGAGTATGGCCTCAGTCATGGATCCTTCTGACAAGCTGTTGAAACTTGAGAGTTCTGAGGCAATTGGCCGGGAAAAGACCTGATGTCATGAAATCCAATCAGATTTCCTCTGCATCTCCATACCAGCCTCAAGGCCTCACCTGACATGTCCTGTCTTGTTGCCTTTCATTGTTTGGGGATATTTACCTGCATACTGAGACTACACCCAACTTAATCCCCATGCCCTCAAATTTGAGGGACTATGCAGTCGCACAACATCCTGGACTGTGCAGTCACACAACATCCTTTACTCGAAATAGTTGCAGGTTCCCCTTTATTACACACACTGGCATGTCACTCCTCATGGGGGTCGAATGCGAACCATCACTACCTGCGACCCTCTTTTTGCCCATGCAGAAAAGACCTGCTCGCCAAGCTTGCCGAAGTGCCAGCGCGACTCTCTGCGCCATCCTTGCCTTGCCCGAAGGTTTTGATCCTTGAGGTGTTTGACCATTGATGATTGTTTAGCCGACAGCGAGGTAATAAATACAACTTATCGTCTTTGTGGTTCCGTCCTTTTTGTCTTTGAAGACGACAGCCAATTGAATGCAACTGGAGCGCCATCCAACTTCTCTGCTATTGCATCAGAAGGGTTACCAGAGGCAGACCCGGTCAAGACATCATTAAGGCACCTGTGTTTCGGTGTTGCTTCGGCGGCAAGCTCATGGGGGAGAAGGAAGGCCATTGTGAGGACATGGTGGAGGCCAGGAGAGACACGAGGCAGTGTGTGGATGGACTTCCGGGTGCGGACAGATGATGGAGACCCTGAGATTCGTGTCTCCGAGCCCACTCCGCCTTGGAAGTTCCATTACACTGGCGGTGGAGTCAGAGGGTACATCCGTATTACCAGAATCTTCATAGAGATGTTTCGACTGGGCGAGCCAGATATTCGATGGTAAGAAAACAAAATACGCAAACTGGATCCTGAAAACACTTTGCTCATCCCCAGTGCAGCTGAGCTTCAGACCATAAGCTTGTGCAGTGTACATACGATGTTCACACTCCGGTTTTGATATCTATGCATCTGAGGGGAAAAGGGGTTGTGAGGATTGTTTCAACACACACACACATCAGATACATGGCTGCTGCGCTCTATTCGAAACAGTGCTTGAAACTGTGCTAAGTGTTTGCCTGTGATAGATTTCTGCACCCTGCCATTTGGTGCAGTGCGACACGCGGTTGATGGAAGGCCCAAAATTTGGGGTTTTTCGCCGCATCACTACAAGCAATGTCGTCGAAACTTTTGCAAACAAACTATGCAGGCTCATAATACAAACATAAAAAAAACAAACAGGCAAAAAAAAAACGAAAAAAAATAAAAATGAACAGCAGTATAGAACCCTATTCGAAGTAGCTTTCGAAGTTCGCCAAAACGTTTCCCGAATTCGGTGTTTTTGCCGACTTTTTTGTTACTCGTCCAAATACGCTGAAACTGAATACAGATATACCCTAAAGCTTATACATATCAGACAAAAAAAAAAAAAAAAAACAAAAAAAAAAAAAAAAAAAAAAAAAAAAAAGCAAAAATTCAGGGGAATATGGCAGTTTCGGTGAAAAATTCGCCGAAAATGACACCACCTATTGACCACGAGTGTGCAGTGCTTCCAGAGGCCGCGCCTAAAGCGAGCTTGCCCAAGCTGTGGGCGTGGCCATTCACCAGACAGAATGCACTGCTTCTCCATTCCTTCTTCTGCGCAACTCTACTTGTGGTAACCACTGCTCTTCGTGCCAGTCTGATGAGCCAGCAAATATTGAGGACATTGGATGGTTATCTTCTCCTCCTTTCTCTTCTTTCTCCCTTCCTCCCTTCCTCCCTTCCTTCCTTTTTTCCTCTTCCTTCTCTCTGCTCCTTTTCCCCATGCAAACTGGCAAATGAAAAAGAACGAACATCTTGGAAGAACAGACAAAAATGGTCTGTGCAGGTGTGACGTAAGGCAGACATGTGTCGGCACATGGCACTCAAGTACACAAACACGGCCACTGTTGCAAGACTTGAATTTGCAGCAACCAGTCATTCTTCTATTCTGTAAAAGACATCACAATCCTTTTTTTTTTTTTTTTTAACCAAGAAACAGAACCTCTCGGTTCTGGGTCCTACCATTCTGGGGAGCAACAGTCCGGTTCCTATTCCACCAGCAAGTCGATGCTGAATACAATAAGGACCCACGCACGCTCCTCTTCATTACGGCTGGGAGGCCCAAGTGGATGGCATTGATTACTTCCTTAGGGAAGAATGTACCACCCCTCACCCCTGCATAAGTTACCTTGCTTGACTTAAAACCGGAAGACTGTTGGTAGACTCACATCTGATACATCTGTTTGTGATTCGATGCTTATCTGTGAAGGCATTGACTAGCTTGCTCCTCTCACCTACACGGCTGTCGGATCTACATTAGGTACTGGAGGTGCTGGCTTGGCGCATTAACCGACGGTTTTGCTGAACACATAAACCTTAAGGATTCTAGCCTTGAGGTTGCTTTGGAGTTTTCTGTATGTCTGAAAATGTCCATAACTTCTGGCGTCTATTCCTTAAACCCTAAACCCTAACTTCGAAACCCTCTTTCTCCCCCTTTCTGTTTTTCAAGGTTTGATATTGAGCTGATCGACTACTCTATTTTGGGGATTACTCTTCTAACCTAACCTTCGATTCGCTGCTGGTGATTTCTAAACTCATCAAAGGGGCCTTGCGCTTCTTACCCCACCTTTTTTTAGTAGTTTATTTACTTGGGGCCCTGTCCGTCTGGCTTTCTGGAAGCTCTGTCTCCATAACCTCTCTAGGCTCTGACTTGATGACTGTTGTTGACTACAAGGGTTTAGCCTGGCCTGCTCTTCTCGGGGATAGGTTGTTGGGTCATGTGGAGAACTAGTTTTGTCAGTGCTGCTATTTACCTTCATTCTTGCTTAAGACCCTAAAACCGTAGAGTGTCTAATGGTGTGAGCATGCTTGAACCTTTGACCCTATGCTGTTAGTAAGGTAGGGTGATCTAGAACTATGTGTACTGTTATTTGCACTCCTCTTTGCTTAAGGCCTAATCCCTATTATTTCAGGTGAGTAAGGGTGGGGTTGGCTCGGGAATTCGTGCCCTACAGAGGCATCAGCAAACGTTATCTAGGGAATCTTGCGTGAGCATTGTGATGCATATTTGCTTGTGGAATACTTCTTGGGAGTGGGGACTAACTATGGCTGAAGTGGGCTGTTCCCGTAAACTCCTTGTCCTTGACGAAAGGTGTGTGGTGACATTGTTGTTCCCTGATTGGGAGATAATTTTGTTTCTCTGACCAAGGCCAAGCTCATGTGGGCTTCCCAGAGTGTAAAAGCTAATCCTTGACCTTTGATGTGTGCAATTTTGCCTTTTGCTAGATAATTTTCCTTTATGTTCTTTTGCTGTGAGTTCGTCTGCTTTCATTCTCCTTCTCACTTTGGGCCATAAGACCCAATATTCCGTTTCAACCTGCTGTTGAAGCAGGCTCCATGCCTCCTTCAAGTGCATTGGTTGCTTATCTATTGTTGCTTGACATCGTTTCCTTCAAATGGCCCAAGCGTTGCTTTCCTAAGGATTTGGAAGAAATTATTTTGAAGAGGGGGCCAGTCCTCAGGAGTTGTAAAACCTAGTAATATGAGAGTAGGGTTTACTGTGAATTCTGTTGAAGTAACTGACTGAGTCCCAGACCTTAGATATCTTAGCCCAAATCAGTTTAATCGTGGAGCAGGAGAGAAAGCAGTGGAAAAGATTCTCTGTCTGGCCCTCTATTAAAGCACAATTCTTTTAAGGGGCTTGTGTCTTCCTTTCTTCTTCTAACATTCATCCATTGGTTCAGGGGGGCTGCTAGATATAATATACAGCCATTGAAGGCTCCTGAATTTGGGGGGGTGCAGAGATGTTATTTAGTTCCACGGTACCTGGTCTAAATTTTCCGGGTCTACTTCTAAATGCTTCCACGAGCGTTCTGCTATGACCGGTTGGGGGGTTGCTGATCTACGTCTCAGTGTGTATCCTAGTCTAGTTGTGTAGCGGAGAAGGTTAATTTTGAGGTTCATTCCAGAGATGCGTTGTTTAACGTTCCACGCCCATCATGTCGGGTCTACTTCTAGGTCATCTAGTGCGGTTTGGGGGTGGAATAGGGTAAGTTCGTCATTTTCTACTACTCTGATTTTCCTAAGTTGATCTTCTCTAACTGATACCTGCGCTGTCGAATATTTGATAACCTTACTGGCATCCGCGCCTGGTTCCTCTAACTTGTGCATAGTGAAGGTGTACCAGTTGTTTCTTCCTTCTATCCTTCTTGAAAAGGCTAGCGTGTGGTCGTAAGGTGTAACGTGTGTTATTACGGCCCAGTTGCCTGTTGTCCATTGTCTCTCCTTTTGGAGCACTGGTACCCACTCTATTGGTATGGCATTTATTATGTTGGAGACTTTGAGCTAAGTTGTGGCATCCTTTGAGCCTGTTTTGGAGTTGTCTAACATTCATCCAAGACTTCTTGTCATCGTCCCAGATATGTTTGATTTGCCAGATCCCTCTTTCTAGCCAGGTGCCACATTTTGAATCCTTTGTGGTGAGGGTGAATGGAGTTCCTCTGTTGGGGACTATCCATGGGTTGCAGAAGAGAGGTTGTCTAAGTATCGCCTCCTTGGTGCGTTGCCTGACTCTGGCTGGAAAGATTTCTCTCGATGCTTCGAGTACTGTTTTCCAAAATTTTAGTCTTGGTTCGTTTCTTGTCTGTTCTAAGTTTGGAGACCTGCCTTTTATGGTCCATGACTTGCTCATTACCCAGAAAGTACCCTCCATGTTCTCTAGTGTGTTGTAAACTGGCAGTTGTTGTAGACCCTCCAAGGCCAAGGGTCTCCACGGGAGTTTTGGGCTACTTATTAGCTTTAGTATCCATTTGGTCTGGAGTGCTTTTATTTGAGAGGCTGGATCGAGTACCCCCAATCCTTCCTGTTTTTCTTTCCTTAGTCACGTATTGCCACGCTACTTTAGTAATGAAGTGTTGTCTGGATGGGTCACATGTCCATAGATAGGCCGAGGCTTTCCTTTGTATGATCCGGGGACCAGAAGGCTGCCACGTACCACGTCATTGAGAATATGGACGAGCTCAACACCAGTGCTCGTCTATATAGGGAGGTGTGTATCTTCCCCTAGGAACTCAGTTTGCTGGTCATTTTTGTCAGAAGACTGGGCGCCATTTCTGCTGCTGCACCCAACTTTGGCATTTGTATTCCTAGGACTCTGATTGGGTCGTTCGGGTCAGACCAAGTCATTCCTTTAGGAGTACATAATGATAAATCCAACTTGTCTGTTGTTTTCCACCATCCTATTGTTTTCAGCCAATTGATACACATTTCGGAAGTTAGCTGGAATGCGCCAATAACTCTGGTCAGGGCCTGGAAGGATGGGGAAGAATTTTTTATTAGCACTGAAAGGTCATCTGCAAATAGGATTGTGGGAGGAATGTGGCAGCTGCGAGGGTTTTCCTCTGTCTGATCGGTGAGCGTATGAATGGAAGGGTTTTTTCTTAGGAATGATGCTATGGCCCCCATAATGAAAAGGAAAGATTGGTGCGGCCAAAGGGTCTCCCTGTCTAACGGATCGAGACATATTGTACGTGTTGGAGATATGACCATTTACCTTCACAACTCCTAAGGCGTCATTATATAGGACTTGCACCCATTTCCTAAAATTGGGACCTACTCCCATTGTTTTCATGCATTGTTGCAGAAAGTCCCCATTGACTTGATCGTAGGCTTTTTCGAAGTCGGAAAAGAGAATTGTTGCATTCATTTTTTCGTCCTTAATGTACCTTACCGATTTAGCTAAGGTAATTACATTATCGAGAACGAATCTGCTAGGAATAAAACTGTTTGATATAATATGAAAACAATTTTTGCCAATCTTC